AATGACACTCCTCTTTCTAAACTATGTGGAGGGGTTGTAAAAGCTTTGTCATGGCTAAGTGGTTGCTTTAATAAACTTCCTCTGAATTGGTGTGGCCACAAAAAGAGTCATCCAGTTTGGCAACATGGTGAAAGCGTCAGGCCTAATTAGTTTTATAAATTGTGAATGTTGGTGTTACAGTGTATATTCTCTTTTTAAATTATACATGCAAGAAAACAAAAATAAAAACAAATACTGCTTAAAAATATGTTACACAGATTTGATTGGAGGTTTAAGGGAATTTACAGACAAGATATGACTGAGGCTTGTTCTTTTTAAAGTCCAAATGTGTTTCAAGCTATTTTTGAGCAACAAAAACACACTGAATAAATATGACAAAGACAAGTTAAATTCCCTATGGTGGAACGTTCCATTGCAATAACATTTCAGTAGAGACGAGCAGGTGGTGCTCTTCTCACCAGAAAAGTTACATAGTACACCTTTGGATAAGCCTATGTCCTGTCAATCATCATATCATTATTGTCTTCCTGTGGCCTCTTGTATAAAGCTGTGATTTTATTTCTTATCTTTCTATTTTATTTTGACTTGCACATTTACATTTATATAATTATGTCTTATTTGACACTGGTCTCTTGCTATCTTTTTTAGAACTTATTATTACTATTTATATTTTTATTTATTTATATTTATTTGATGAGATAGGGACAGTGCACAATTTTTACATTAACCTTAACAGGAGAGATGCTTGTATCAGATTTTAACGCCAGTGCTTCGACCTGTCGTCCCTGGGCAGGTTCATTGACTGATTGTATTTAACTGACCTTGGCTATCAACTGTTCTTCCTTCCTTGTTCCTTCCTTCTTATTTTATATTGTGCCATGTGAGCTGCTATGTCCAAATATTTTCCCTTGTGGGACAATAAAGTTAGTCTAAATCTAAGTCTAAGTTTATAAAAGAAAAGTAGTAGACCTGCACAATTGAAGGAGGGAGCCACAATAAAATCTGTTCTTGATGCTAAATGCCAGATTAAAAAGTATTAAAATCATTTCAGTATAAAAAAAAACATTTACACATGCAAAATTGACTGGTCATGCATAGTTAATATGAGAATGTCAATGAACATGAATTTTAAGTAAGTTAAAGTTACTGTATAACACAAAATGGACTCTTGTGATCTTTAAGACATGTTATAATCTTGTTACCTCCTCAAAAACAGACCTGGACTTGTGTTTTGTTTCATTCACACATTTGAGTATTAGTCTGTCTGCATCTCCAAAGCTCAAAATGCACTGTTCCACCTTGTGATGTCGTGAAGCAGTAGTTTTCAAGTTAACAAATACGTTTTACCTTCAGTAGAGATTGGCAAGTCCAGGGCTGAAATGATCCAAATGATTCTAGTGAAGGTGTATGGCACTGGTCTCCAACCCTCTCCACCCCCGTCCAAGTAGCTCACCAAGGGATTTCTGAATTCATCCGTATTGCACTGAATAACTCAAATTTGATTGATTAAATGCCTATTTCTATTGTTAATCTATCATTCTGATGCCTAATTTTGTGCACTGATAATGATAATGAGTTATGTTGTATAAGCGTCTTACTGCACCTCATGGCCATGGCTCTTATATTTACAAAATTTCTAGCTACCACTAAAATAAGTAGCTCTCTGGTATTTTCATTTTACAAAAAGTAGCTCACAGGAGGAAAAAGATTGGAGACCCCGGTGTATGGAGTTTAAAAACACAGTGGAGCACTTCCTGTATTACCACATGACATCACAAGGTGGAACAGAGCATGCAGTATGTTTAGGCCCATAGTATCTGATTTTCTATACTTTTGCTTACTCTCATATACTCGTATAGAAAAACCGCACGCTTTACAAAAATCACTGAATACTGTGAATTCTCAAAAATAATTCACAATTTTCCAAAAAGTAACACATTGAAACAGCCCACACTTCAGATTCAGACACTAAAATCATTATTTCTTGCACAGATGGCTGAGCACAGATGGTGGGGGCTTGACTATACTCATATTATGGGAGTTGACAGTGATTGGCAGTTAATGTGTGACTCTGAAATCCTCAAATTGTATGAGAATGTATTGGGTAATGTTACATAATTACCACCCAAGTAAAGCTGCATGCACTCATATTTGATCCTGGTTTCGTCCTGGTTCGATCCTGGTTTAGTCCTGATCTAGACTTGGTTTGGTTCTGTTGTAGTCCTGGGTTAGTCGTGGTTTAGTCCAGATTTAGTTCCGTATTAGTCTATACAATATCACTTCTGTTGTGTTATGATTATTGTGAGAAGAAACTGCAAACATTCTGCTCCACCTTGTGATGTCATGTGGGAATACAGGAAGTGCTCCACTGTGTTTTTAGACTCCTCACACCTTCACTTGAATCATTTGGATTATTTCAGCTCTGGAATTGTCAATCTTTACTGAACTAAAAGTAAAATGTTGCTGTTAACTTGAAAACTACCACTTCATGACAACATAAGGTGGAACAGAGCATTTTGAGCATAGGAGAAGTAGTAGTAAGTCTGTTAATAAAGGATTACTTAAACATGTGTGAATGAAACAAAACACAACTCCAGGTCTCTTTTTGAGCAGGTAACAACATTCTAATCTGTTTTAAAGCTCTCAAAAGTCAATTTTATGTAATATATGACCTTTAGTACTATTTTTCATTCTTGTATCTCTCTAACACACATATAATAGTAAATAGACAAGTATTTACCCTATTTCTCAAATATAAGGCACACTTAAAATCCTTACATTTTCTCAAAAATCAACAGTACGCCTTATAATCCAGTGTGTCTTATGTATTAATTCTGGTTGTGCTTACTGACTTTCGAACTGATTTTATGTGGTACACGGCACTCAAAACTCTGTCAAAATGTTTTAGTACGACTTTGGTAAACTACGAAGCCGCACCGCTTGATGGACTGACGGAGAATTACAGCTACTGTAGTCAGGAGTCTTGCGGAGAAAGTGAATCGTGTCCTTCAGTCCGACAGAAGCTGAACCACATCATCACACAAGAAGCAAGTGTTTTTTTCAGTGCTTATAGTTTATGCAAATGAGTGTTTTTAAGTTTAATTTTTGTAAAACGTAAACAAATGTGCGCAAAGATGCATTAAACACATTATTACTCAAAGTATATTTGAGTCGTCCTCGTAGGAAATAATAAAACAAGCTTAAATGATCCACCCACATTCACATTCATAATCCACACCAAGACAGGGAGTCAACGTCAGGTGAGTTACACCATGATCTGCCAATGGATCGTGGACACCTGCACTAAGGATCAGTCTCAAGTCTTAATGCTCCTTATAATCCGGTGCACCTTATGTATGAAAATAGATGACAGAATTCAACATTATTGATATTGTGCCTTATAATCCAGTGCACCTTGTAGTCCAAAAAATATGGCAGGCTTATTCATATTCAGCTGCAAAGTCATAATTCTGTGTGTCATAAATGTAAAATGACTCTTTTAAAAACTGAGAGAGATTAAAGTTAAGCTAACAGGATGTGACTAACTGTTGTGGATTCAAAAATAGCAAAGGATTTATACAGGAATTTATACGCAACATTAATGAGACAATAGAAAGCTGAATCATGGTTCATTTCATGTTTTATTTTGCTTCAACTCTTTTATAAACTGTATTATAAACCACTGCTCTTTTGTGATACTGAAAAAACACTGTGGCCATAACTGCCAATTGTCAACGATCTGATGTCTGACCTCGGAAGTCTCTAATTTGTACCTAATCTGTTTGGATAGTACCTGTTGTAAATATGAATTATAGTTTTACACAAATCAGGAAGCAATTTGTGAAGAAAAGTTGAAAAATAATATGTTGAAAATGACAGAAAGCAGAGAGTTTTAAACACACTGATGATGTCACGCTAGAGGGAGAATTCTGTCCAAAAATTTCGCCGCAGTTTACACCAGAAGCACATATTTCCTGAGACTTTAAACATGATTTCAACTAAATAAAGCTGTTTTCTTATATTTTCTGTGTACATTAGAAGAGTTTGGGCCCAGTGTAGAATACGGTTGCTAGGTAACAGTTCCCAGTGTGACACAATTAACAACGAGGAAGTAAAATTTTACACCTAAAAAAATTAAAATGAGTGAAAAAATGGGAAAATAATAATAAAAACTATTCCTAAATAAAAAATATAATGATCTTAAGTGTGTTTTAGTAAAATTAGTGGTCCAGGTTCTCATAGGCACGTGGTTAAGGGTGCTTTCACACAGACAGCAGCAAACCTTCCACTCGAACCAAAAGCTTTTAGTTCGGTTTGTTTTCGTTGGTGTGAAAGCTTCAGTCGCACTCAGATCTGCACTAAATCAAGCGGACCAAGACCTCAAAAAAGAGGAGGTCCTGATCTGTTTGACTCCGCACTAAATGCCAAAAACATCATGGGAGGGCAGGCGCGGACTCTCGAATTGAGAGCGTCAACCCTGCCCCGGTTAAGGAGTGTGATTGGGGCCAGGGTTGGGTCTGGATGCCTGCCCCATGGTTGGCCGTCCATAGGTTTGTGAAGTCTGAGCTCCCCTCTGCATCTCAGCCTTGCCTCAGAGTGGTCTGGCGTACGTCAATTGGACTAATTTTGGTTCATTTGCTGGTGTGAAAGTGGACCACACTGGAGTCTATGTGCTACAGAATTTTATTGCCTGGTGCGGACCAAAAAATCGAACTAGCAGTGTGAAAGCGCCCTAATCTGTAGATAAAGGGTCAAGGGTCAAGGAGTTTCTATGACAACTACTAAAAATAATATTAATATATCAGATTTATATAGACTCCCAAAGATGCTTAAATTGTGGAGTGAATGAATAAAGCCTGAAATTAGTTAAGAAGCAACTTTGCACATTTGGAAAAGCACTACAAACACACAACACTAATATTGTGAAACTCTTGATTTGTCCCATTATATTATGTATTATATCACAATTCATATCTTCTGCTTTTTTTGTTTTTTCACAGACCGACCTGAGCCAGAAGTTGACGTTGTGTAGTAAGTTGTGTTTCGCCATCGGAGGAGCTCCCAAAGAAGTAGCTGCCAGCGCCACGGCCTTCTTTCTCCAAATATACCTGCTGGATGTCGCCCAGGTAACGTAAACCTAAACATAACTCAACAAAACACAAGATATTTTCATTTGCTCAGTGATTATTTCCACATACATTTACAGAATTAAGATAGAGAACTGAAAACTATTAGTAAATACTTGTTTGCAGTTTTAGTGCACAGCTACAGTAATTTAAGTACTTGAATTCAGAATATTAACTTAAATTAGTTTACATAAGATAGCCTGATGCATTTTTATTATGGATACACCGGATATCTGTTAGCCAGGCTGGAGCCACCTAGTGCCTCTGCACAATTTCATTTCAGGAATCAGAATACACTAGACGGTTCGCAAAAACTCCGGAAGTGCGAGTTCGGGCACCAGCCAATCAGAGAAGATCCATATATTCTGTGTTGGCAATGATTCCCGAGATCGAGCCAGAACAAAGAGAATGTTTGGTGAATTTTATCAAGGGGAAAGACGTTATTGCCCTTCTTCCTACAGGATTTAGGAAAAGCTTAATATACCAGTTAACCCCGATGCATTTCATACATCACGACCAAATAGCAGTGATTGGTTAAATAAAAAAAGTAGCCGCCGCCTACCGTAGAGTGAACGAATCCTAATGCTGCAAGGTTTCACTTTGTAGAAACCGGCTGATGATTCAGGCTAGATATCTGTACCGATACTGAGTAATTTGCAGGATCTAATATCAAAACTGAAAAAGCCGCATTGGTGCATTGTTAATTTTCATGTTTGTGATGTTTGAATGTGAGAAACAGACTGCACTGCAATTTCCCTTGGGATTCATTTGCATAGATTTTTCTTTGTATCTGTCTGTGTAGTTTAGATATTTTTTATTTGTCAGGTAGCATTTACAAACACATGAATTCAGTAGGGATGTAATAACCGAAATATCGTGATATCGGCTCGTCAAAAGTCTCACAATAATATTGGAGGCCCTCACAATTTATCGAATTAAGCCTCTTTACTTAAATGAGTAGTTATGGTGATTCTAATGTCTTTCTTTATGATTTTAATGTCTTTATTATTCTGTAAAGCAAACTTTGAATTACTTTGTGGCTACTTTGCCTTGCCATGGTGCAGCAAAAAGCTAAAAACACAGAGGAAACTACATAGACCATGATCCTTTGGTGTTGTCAGTGCAGACTACATAAAGAAATAACTCTCCAAGGCTTTTAAAAGGAAAAAGTAACATATTCACAATTTTGTAAGCCTCCGTAAAATACCCCAATACATTTGATCAAAATTCAAAAAACAAAACAAAAAAATTCATATCAAAAAAGAATTTAGCAAAAGAAAAGATGATCTGTACCAGTGTAAGCAACTGCTAAGATGTGTTTATTTACTTTACTTGAACTAGACCACATGTGCTTCTGTTTCATGTACTTTTTTTTTTTAATTTCAGGATAAAGATATCATTGATCTGGGCATAGAACAAAGATCACACTGCATGAACTATTTCGTTGCTGTGTTTCAGATCAATGCCTTCCAGGCCTCTATGGTGCTGTTCATTGGGAAAGCCTGGGGCGCCGTCACAGACCCCGTTGTCGGATTCTTTATCACCAAAACCGGACGCACCAGAATTGGAAGACTCATGCCCTGGTGAGACGCTCTATATTCAGTCAATTCAGGTCATAGATCTGTAGTCGTGCACAAACCATACATAAAATCATGTACATACAACCAGGGCAGTAGACGAGGGGGATAAAGGGCTCTGTTGTCGCAGGACCCTCTTCATATGAATTTATATTAAAGGGGGGCCCATGTGAGGCTCCTTGCCCTGAGTCCCCAAATTTCTGTTGACAGGCTTGTTCGCAACAAACACCATACACTCAAACTTCAAAGCATCAGGAGACACATTTAAAATTGAGTTTCCATTTAAAAGTTTTATGGCAGAAAGAATAAAAGATTTAGCCTTTTTTGTATTTGTTGGCCTGCCTGTCAGGTTTTACTAGGTAGAGGTGGATAGAATTGCAAAACAGTGTATTGAATTAAAGTCCTCATATTATGAAAAATGTAACCATTTTAGAATATTGTTACCTCATCAAAACATACTTAGAGTTGTGTTTTGTTTCATTTACACTTGTTTGAGTAATCCTTTAATAATACTTGGTGTACACCACCAAAGCTCAAAATGCTCTGCTCCACCTTGTGATGTCATGAAGTGTTAGTTTAAGAGCTACCTTTTATGTTTTATTCAGTAGAGATTGGCAGTACCAGAGCTGAAATCATCCAAATGTTTCTAGTGAAGATGTTTGGAAGGCTACGTTTATATGGTGACGGTCTGAACAGAAGATGCAAAAGTGGCGTTGTGTCTTCACTTTTTATTCCGCGTTTACATGAGCATTTTCGTGAGGAAATCTTGTTGAAAGTTGTCCCATCATCGACTGGTTCTCCAGGTCTCATCCATAGTCGCCTGCGAATGACATGGTGCATCCAGAATTTGACAGAGATGATTGCAGATCCCTCTCTGTTCATAGTATCTCTGCATATTCTGTACATTTGTTGAGAGCCTCCTGTAAGTTTATTAGGTAAATTGAAGGTTTGACGCATGAAAATGATCCGACATGTTTGTTTCTGTGTACTGTATGTATGTGACGTAAACGCAGACACGACCTGAACAGATCTGACCAGAGTTTTGCGCCTTGGGCAGTGTAGACGGAAACATTACGGCGGAACCTATTCAACTTTTCCACTCTGGAGGATGGTTTCAGATTTTTGCATTTTTAAACCCCAAAAATGCCCTCACTATCTAAACGAAAGGCACTTCCATTAAAATATTTAAACATTTTGTCGTTTTTACCCGCAAGCGTTCTCGTGTAAACAGACCCTAAAACTTCTTGTATGACATCACAAGGTGGGACAAAGTGTTTTCCATTTGAGAGAAGAACTCAGCTTAAATATACAGCGTTGATGTCAATGAAACAACTCCAGGTATGTTACTGATGAGGAAACAACATTATAACAGATAAAGACAGATAAAAAACATAAAAAATTGTGTAATATAGGCCCTTTAACAGAACTTACTCACTTGTGTCCAAAAACCATTTAGCATTTCAAAACTACCTGATTGCTCCTGTTGCTTCATATTTTGTTTACAGTTATGTTTATGTTTTGGGTCGTGTGGGTTAGCTACCTCTTTCTCAGACACAACTGCGGGCGAGCTCCTTCCTGTTAATGTCTCCACAAAAACAAAGCATCACTCTGCAAACTCAGCCTCTCAAACAGCTCCGGGCCTCACCTGGGACTCTACGCGAATAAACAAACTGTCATTGTATTTTAATTAGTCTGTCCCCGAAGCTTTCTCTGATGCGCCGCTAGACAAGATTTATGGGCGTTGTGCTGGAGCAAAAAAAAAGCTTCTGTACTTTGATGTTGGAATATTTTGTACAAGGAAACTTAAGTTCCTACGTGACATTTAAATGAAGTTTCACCTGGCCAGCTTCCAGTTTTTGGGTTGAGATTTGGATCTCGCTTTGAAGTCTCGTATAGTGGAAACGCAGTTGGGAAATTAGTTTTAAATCACGTGTCAAAGTTGTAAGGTGCACATGTTGGAATATATGCTGTGTTCACATGTTGTTGTAGCATTTAAAAGGGTCAAATGGGGCATTGCAATAGTGAATAACAATTTAAAAGTCCGATATTGCTCAAAACTGTCTCTTGTTGCACTTTAAACCATGTTAGAATGTTGTTACTTCCTCGAAAACATACCCGGAGTTGTGTTTTTGTTTCATTCACCCATGTTTGAATAACCCTTTAGTATAGTATAGTCTAAATGCTCTGTTCCTCATTGTGATGTCATGAAGCTGTAGTTTTCAAGTTAATAAGAGATCAACAATTCTGGAGCTGAAATCATCCAAATGATTTAAGTGAAGGTGTGCAGAGTTTAAAAACACAGTGGAGCACTTCTTGTATTGCCACATGACATCACAAGGTGGAGCAGAGTATATAGTAATTGTAAATATGTAGTGGTAATTTTCAAGTCAACAGCAACAGTGGCGGAGTTGGCAATTTGGGGGCCCTAGGCGAAATTTAGTTTGAGGCCCTCATTATAATGCACTGTTTTGTTGTTGTTGTTCCTTTTTTTTTGTTTTTGTTTTTTTGATTTTTAAAGTATTTATTGTCTGTTTTTTTCCCATTGAACATGAGACAATCACATCTTTATTTGAATTATGGTGGTTTGCAAACTTTTCTTATTAGTTAGGTCGCCTACTAAATACCCAGAGTTGAAAGTAGTTTTATTTTTTTGCTAGTACAATTACATTTTTGTTTACATCCATTACATATGATTATGATTATGCTATGACTTGATGATATGATGTGATTTCAAATCAGGGTCAAGCTGATGAGTCCATTCTAACCTGAAAGGGGGGATGCTTTGACAGTTTTGACAGTCAGATACTATCTTGATGGTGTTTTCTTGTTTAAAAGTAAACTACTCTCATTTAATGTCATATTGAGAGAAAATCAAATTGCTCTGAGGCCTTTGTTATTAGTGGATCTGAGGGCAATTGGTTGGGGGCCCCTCCAAGTTCGGGGGCCCTAGGCAGTTGCTTACTTTTGCCAAATGGTAGCACCGCCTCTGAACAGCAACAACAACGTGCACTTCATGTTGCTTTACAAAATGAAAATTCTGTTCAAATACAAAAATAAGGTACAAAATCTTTAAAAATTGTGAACAAAAATTTCAAAATAGTTTTAAATGGAAAAGAAATATTGTAAGTTGAAATTCATTGGACGCTGGAAAGGGTAAGGCAGAGTTTGTTATCAAAGTGTAAAAACTACCTGATGTATGGTTACTAACTCTGTGATGGTTCTTTCCACACGAAACAAAAACTGGCACAAAGTTCATCTTATTTTTAAAAATAAAATATGCTGATTTTCATTATAATTGTTGGGGGATGACTATGGACAGTAGAGCTTAAACCAGAAGATTAATTTTGTGACTTTGTGGACACTATTACAATCAATCAGTGTGGATTTTCAGATTTTTCCTTTTGAGTACTAGAATAGGTCCCAGTAGTCCCGTTCTGTTCTAATCTTGTACAGTATATTGATCTCATAAGTATTTAAGTAATGTGCTGATCATAGTATGTAACTTTTCTGACAAAAAATAGGTTAAAATAAAAGTTAAATTTTATAGCGCTAAAAAACATGTATTCTTACTCTGATGGGGATTGCCTCTCCACAAACCTGACTCTTATTTGACCTGGAAATGCCAGGCCTCCTCCTCCCTAAAGAATGTTCCAAATATGGTTTTAACTTCCTGTTTCCTTGAAATCAGAAATCTTCGGGTAACGTGCCACCTCCAGAAAACTATACAAATATTTTGTCATATTTTGCTTCCTCATTTTCTATTTTTGTTTGTTTTTATATGACAAGAAGACGTGACTCGTGCTGAGTAAAGACTCGTAAGTGTTGCAGGAAGTTGCGTTGGTTAGTTTGTTTGTCAGTGTGTGATTGTTTGGAAAGTTCAGTTTTGGGTCATGGAAAAAAATAGACTGGGTGTTACTTTAAACCTTTCTTTGAAGTAAAACCAAATCAGCATTTTTTAGAAATTTGAAACGGTTTGTGGAGTTTGTATGTTCTATCATTGTGTCCTGGGTAGGTTTATCAAAAGGATCGAAAATCAGTACTATGATTTATGGTTGAAAATGACATTCTTGGTGTTTTTTTTTTTTTTTTATTATCATTGGTATAGGAATCGGTATAGAGTATCGAGTCTGTTCCTCAGTATTGAAATCAAGTTTTAAATGTCAGTATCATTACAAGATTAATTCTGTGTACTCTGTTTCCCCTCTCCATGTCAAACAAGCACAGTCAGACCTAATTACTGCCTTAACAAATTTAATTCACAATTAAAGCAATATTTTCCCCTATGAGGACACTGAAGTCTGCCTCACCCTAATTAAGATTCAGTGCTAATCAATAACTTTTGGCTCAGTAGACAGTGTACTCCTGAATTTTTGTTACATTTACTTGAGTTAATTAATTACAGATTAATGAATTATGAATAAATTATATAACGCTTCTCCAGACTCCCAAAGCGCTTTACAGTGCATCATTCATTCAATCCACAAACTGTTATTGTAGCCACAAACTGACGGAAGCGAGGCTGCCGATCTGTGCCATCAGCCCCTCTGACCACCACCAATTACACACACACACACACACACGCACACACACACGCACACACACACACCGCTTTCACTACGCGATGTGGGTGAAGTGTCTTGCCCAAAACACAATGACAGTTTTTGCTACTAGGGCACCCAGTGGTCTCCCATCCAAGTCCTGACCAGGCCCGACCCTGCTCAGCTTCTGAGATCTGACGGGATGAGGCTTTGAAAAGGATGTATGACCACTTTGTACTTCTACTTCAGTAATATTATATTTTTATTTTTAGTAAGATTTGTCAAGCAACTTTACTCTTTCTTTATTCTTACTTGAGTACAATTTTGGACTACTTTACATACTTTCTGATGCATATTTTAATTTCTTTGGTTCTTTTTAAAGACAATACACACACATATACAAATGCATACATTGACGAATTCACTAAAAACCTTAAAAGTGGACTCATGTATATGTATGCATCAGAA